AATTTTTGGTTCTTCTTATTGCCCAACATTTTTCTTTCGACTAGTGAAAACCGCAGTTCTGTAGCTACACCCTAGAATAAGTTATTAAACAAATGGCCATGGTCTTTCTGTTTTGAAACGGATAATAGTTAAAATAAAACGTATATCATTTTTTTTTCTTTTTAGGTACTCGATTTATGTCCAAATGCATGGAGCGATTTTATTTCGATTTATGAAAAATTTTTATCAGAATCTAAAATGTTGGAAAATTGTTCGTATTTTATTTGTGAATTGGCCATGTTTCATGCTAATCATGGTAAAAATATGCTTGAAGCTTGTCAGATTCTTAAAGTAAATATTTGTACCGATAAGAATTATATCGTTATTTTATATAATTTGGTGTTTTTCAGTATTATTTAGCCGAATCATCAATATTTCGTACGATTATTGAACCCGATCATCGTTTATATCTATCATTAGTTTTATTATACACATACGCATTTGGCTCATTTCCTCATCAGTTTTATACTCAGTTCGATATAAATCGTTTTTCACAACAGACTACTGGAAAATGTTTTACAGTATGTTATACATGAGAATTAAATTATCATGTCACTTATAAATATTTTTTCAATCATATAGAAAAAGTTGTATTTTTAGCCTGAACCATTTTTATGTCCATGGTATATTGTTGATATTCAATTTAGCACTAATCAGGATAATATAGATCAATTATTCTCTGAATTATCTAAACAATTAGATATGTGTCAATCTTTTTTCCCATTCTATATTAATCAAGTACAATGGCTCAATATTACACATCGGTATGTTTGACTTGTAGAACAAACTCTTGTTAATTCAGTCGATTTTCAATGAATTATTTATTCTCTCTTTTTTTTAGATTTAAAGAATCTCAATGTTTAATTGAAAACTTACTTGAAACTAATCCATTATCATCTGAATTATGGATAGAATTAATAGATATATTTACACAAAATATATCGTCATCATCATTCGAAAATCTTTATCAAGTATGAAAGATTTATAAAAACTAATTTTTAAATGTGTAAACCTTTATTATCACGTTTTCTAGATTTTGGAACGTGCTAATGAAACAACCGGTATTCGATATGAATTTATTTATTGTCTAGCGCGATTATTAATCATGCAGGTACGACTCTGAACTAAAAACTGAAATTTATTTTATACAAAGGTATGAATGATATCACAAAAAAGTACCAAAAAGACTTGTGGCATCCGAAGATACCTCATGATAATAAAAAAAATCGCTACTATAACACATACATTGTAAGAGACAACATAAGTGTAATACATTTTAAGAGAAAGAGTAGATCTAAACATAAAAATTATTGAAAGTCTAGATGATATCTTAACATACGCTAGAAATACAGATATTAGTGAGAACTATAATATATTTCTATACAACTTAACTCACTTAAAATAAATAAAGCTTAAATCAATATAGATAAAGGAGTCTGAAAAAACTAAAAGCGAAGGAAGTTCATTCCATTTCTTTGAGCTACGTGGAACGAAAGAGCCGAACTTTAGCTTGAGACGAGGAATGAAAACGCTATTATTATGACCTAATCGAGAACTTTGATGCGGTGAGTTAGCGGTGAGATCAAATCAACGGACGAGAAGACTTTTAGTATAGAATATTTTATGAAAATATAGAAGACGATAGTAAAGACTTCTATTAGGAAGTGGTTGAATTTTAAAGTTTTTGAGCAAATAAGAAGAGGAACTATGAAAGTTTTGTGAGATAATTCTGCTAGCAAGATACTGAATTTTGTTCAGAATATTAAGGTGAGCGGTAAAGGTTGAATCATAGATAACATAAGTATATTCGAGCACTGCTCTTACACAAGTTTTATACACATGGTAACGTAAAAATGAGAGCGAGTCTCGAAAAATTCTGGAAATAGTGCCTAACATTTGTCGAGATTTAGTTGAAACATACTCACTCATTTATTTTCTATTTCTTATTCTTCTATAAAATTAGTTTTTCTTATTATTATTTCTTTTTTGTTAAATTTTAGAATCAATTATCGAATATTGAAAAATTATTAAATTGTGAATGGAATCAAATAGAATCTGTACTGAATGAACGTGAAACATTATTCTCATCATTGTGTGATTTGTACATATTTATATCTATTTGAATGCAATTTAAAAGATCTGATAGACTCATTTTTTTTTATTTTTTAGTTATCTTTTAATTCAAACAGATACGATGTCATCCTCTAATGATTTATATTCGTTACATAAAAAGTTGACATCTTCAACAACTAATAGTGATTTATATCAAATATCTATTCATGAGTATGTAACTTAGAAGAAGAAAGAAAAAAAAACATCATGGTGTGTATCACTATTACTACTAAAATTAAATTTTTTTTCTAGTTCATTTTATTATCTATCAACAATTTCTACATATGATGAGCAATGTCGTACACTTACTAATATAATTGAATATTTAAATGATTTTAATGAGAATAATAAAGTTTATGTTTTCTATTCTTTATGTCAATATTTACCAATTGATATTGTACTTGATGTAACAATGACTCTTATATTTAATACAAATAATGAAAAATATCTTTGGATATTAAAAATGTAAGAGATAAAAATAAAAAATAAAAATATATATTTGAATAGAAAAAATTTTCTATTATTTATTATTATTATTATTTTAGTTTGTCAATTGAATTTTTAAAATTAAATTTATATAATGATAGTGATATATTATTATGGACAAGGTTTGATTATTTAGCTAAACAATTTTTATTTGGACAATGTGATGAAATACATTTCACGTATGTAATAGAATTATTTTCTAAGAGAAAAATCCATACAGTACGTAAAAACAATTATTTAGTATTCTACGGCGACTATTAGCTCACGCTATTTCTTGTACGTCTTCTGGTAACAAGATTAAGGTTAGTTTACTTTTTCTTGCGTTTTTTTTTGTCTCTTCTCTGTGTACGTGCACTGCAGTGACAAACAAAAGCAAATATCTTACTATTTCGTCGGAAAATCTTTACGAAAGAGCTTTTAGTTTATTCTCTTACTACATAGAAATAACGTATATAATTTGATTACTTTATCATTCTAGGTATCTTTTTTTATTTTATTTTTATTTTTTCATCTAAAATAGTAACGAGATATTTTTAAAATTGGAAAGTAAATATTATTATAAAACTATATTAGGGATATCTATCTATTTGAGTACCCCCCGCCCCTCCCGCCTTTGAAATGTTCCTATGATCAACTTTTGTTTACTGCAGTGCCAGTTTAGTTTCTCATTTTTGTTGAATATGTTCTTATGTTTGAAGATTGTACAATTTTGTCGTCTATATGAAAAATATTTTCCAAATTCAAATGTAATAGATTGTCAAATTCGAAAAACAATCTATGCTGCTGTTGTTACTTCTAATTCAAACGGGTAATAGAAAAAAAAAATGAAAGGAAATTTATATTTTTAGTCTTTCATGCTTTTCTAATCGGATGTAATGAGCGGTAATTACCCAGAAAAAGTTATTTTGTTTATCACTTTTTTTTGGTATCCAAAAAAACAAGCCAAATATCAAAAAGACAAAGATATTGCCTTTGGGTATGTGTATGTTGTGTGAGACAGATGTGTGTATGTGTGAATGCGAAGTGCAATATATCTCAGGAAAGCTTGGTGCTTAATGGGTTACGCTCCGCATCCACCTGTTTTTATTATGCATCGTTCACAAAAATTATTTTTGTTACTTCTATTGTTGTCTATTTATTTGTTGTTTTTTTTTTTGCTCTAAAAATGAGAGAGATTAGATTGTCAATAGGTCTTTTCACCGTGTTTTGCTACAAAATTTTTGAATAGATCTTTCTACAGTGCTATTTTTTTGGTTTTTTTGTTTCTGTTAAAATAAAGACTAAGTCATGCAAGCAAAACAATACCATCTGCTTGCTTTTGTACTTGTAGAACAACAAATATTACTAACAAGAAGTTCGTAATTACACTTATTAGTTAATATATACAGAGCACAAAACACTCGAAACTTTTTGATGTCACTGGTTTTTTATGCAAATTCTAGCATCAAGAAAGAAATATCCTGTTGACTTGAAATATTCAGGATATAGTCTGTGATGTTTGTAAATTATTTACACAAAGTTTCAGTTTTATGTACGGTACATTATGTAAATGTGGTTAGACGATAAAAAAAAATACCTCTTGTATG